CAATAGTCAATCAAAATCTAATTTCCCCATAATTATGCATAAGAGTGAGAACTTAGGAAATATTTAATACATAGATGCTGATGGTGATGCTGACAGCCATTGTAGGAAATCCACTTCCAGTTCTCTCACAGAATACAAATTCAAACCTGATCTTAGAAAAGGATCTGGCTCACTCAGGCAGGCAGCAACAATTTACTCTGCATTAATGGAAGAACCTACCAAAATCCATAGGAAAATTGCTCTAGTTAGTCTCAAATTAGAAATATTTCAGGAGGAAAATGGCCTGCTGAGTGGAACATTAAAATATTCATGAAAAGAATATCTTCAAAGACATGAATAATTGGAGAATCTGTGCCTACACAGCACTCCAAGGGAAAAGTGTGCTGAGGTCTGAGAATGTGAAATTTTCAAACTAAACACTAATTCCAGGAAATTCAAATGAAATAGTAGCTACAAAGCCAACATTAGTTTTTGTACTAATTGGTTATTACTATTTCCCCTTTCTCTTTGGAGTTCTCCTAGTTCTGGATAGGTATTGCCTTCACGGTCACTGCAGTGGGACACTGGCAGTTACCGTACATGCTCCTCAGGTCCCAGTCAGACCAGCTCAGCTGTCAAGTACCAAGGTCAGTTAATCCTGCATGTTGAGCAACCATCGTTTTCTGCTCACTCCTTCTCCCTTCCTTAGTGCAGGCTATTTCTCTCTCCTGGATCAAGGGATGGTTTCCGTATGGGCTCCATTCTTTAGTTTTACCCCATGTCCCTCTCATGTTCCCCTTTAATTGCCAAAGGGAACAAATGAGACTTAAATCCTCTGTTCCAAATACTTCAGTTGTACCCACTATGCATAAGACAATGTGGAAGAAGAGACAAAGGGATGAAGAGACATAAGGATTAGAGGAGTGCTGTGAAATACTGCCCTCTACACACAATGTAGCTGTTGCACAAATGAACTCACAGCATCTGTGATGCTGCACAAGATGAGGCCCAATCCTCACCAGACAAGCTACTGGAGTTGATGGCTACTGGGAGGAGGCGTCACTTTTCTTTGGGGAATATGGCCACTGGAAGTTCCCCCTGTGATGATCCTGTACCCACGAGCATATGGGCAGAGCAAATTTGTCTCAGTCAATAGAAAGAAAGAGAAAGGAAAAGGCAGGCAAGCAGGCAGGCAGGCAGGCATACATGAATGTTTAAGGTTTTTTTGTTTTTGTTTTTAACATTTTGTGTCATCTTGAAAAGGGTTTGGAAAAGGAAAGAGGAGGAAAAATCAAGCTGGCATAAGCTCAACTTCAAAGACAAACTTTGAGTGATGGTGACCCACCTGTGCCTGTGTTCCCAGCAGATGGCAGTCTGAGAAGGATGACCCTGGGTTTCAGGGCAGTCATGGTTATATAGAAAGAGCCTATCTCAAAACAACAGATTTTTTTAAAATATAAAAAATAATACATTTGTTCTTTCCCTATGAAAATAACCAGTAATGTTCATTCATGATTTTGGTGCTGTTTCTCTCCCACCCATGAATTGGCTTTTATATTGCACATTGAAGACTCTTTTTTTTTTTTTTAAATGTGGAAAATATATTGGGGGAGGGTAAGGGAGTAAGGAAAGAGAGAAAAGAGAAAGAGAGACAGAGACAGAGAGACAGCGACCTGCCTCTTGAGAGAAAGAACCACTGAAGACTTCCAGCAGGATAGTGGAAGTCTTTTGAAATCCTTTTCATAAAAGAGTCCATTTAGCTATGCCCAGTTATGTGGTGATATTTTGTTCGCACAAATAAAGCCTGCCTGAAGATCAGAGGGTGGAGACAGCCACTAGATAACCATAGAGGTCTGGAGGAAGTAATGTGGCTGGGTGGAGAGAGGAAGTGATAAGGCAGGAGGAGACAGAAGCTCAGTCTCTTTCGGCTGGGAAGTTGAGTAGGTAAGGTGACTGTAGTTTGCTCCTTCATCTCTCTGATTTCTCAGCATTTCCCCCTATATCTGACTCTGGGCTTTTGTTATTAAGACTCCTGTTGCACAATGGCTTAGGTTGGGAAACTGAGTCTCAAGGATCAATTGCAAGTTCAAGGCCTGCTTGGGCTACAAAATGAGGTGAAACCCAGTCTGGGCAACTTGGTGCATGAGACACCATCTCAAAATTAATTTAAAAGGTGGACTGGGTATCTAAGTACTGTGTTAAAGCACCTGCCCAGCATGCACCAGACCTAATGAAAAAGAAAAAGAAGGGAGGTGGAAAGGGGAAGGAGAGAGGGGGGATATTTGTAAGGAGTGCAGGCTCTTGGGCTTCACTCAGTTCTACTGGGTCAGGAGCTCCACATTTGCTAGCATCCCCTAGTGATACACAGTCGTATTAAAAGCTTGAGGCACTGTTCACAGTGACTTCTGAAATTCTCCCATGTAAAGACCTAGTAAAAATTAGAGGATCCTTGATGGAAACTCACCCCTGTTACGATAAATCTTTCTGCCAAAAGCTGCCTGAGCCCCACCGCCATGTGTGTGCTTTACGCCAGCCGCCTGCCCGAGTTAGGCCCAAATGAATACACAGAAACTTGTATTAGGTTCAAAGCTGCTTGGCCAATGACTAGGACTTCTCATCTGCTAGCTCAGTCTCAATTATCATAAGTCTATATGTGTTATAAGACTTATCTTATCGGACGCCTTAATGGCGTCCCTCCTTGTCGGTGGATCACATTGTGCCGCAGGAGCAGGAGCGGAGGGGAAAGAGGACCCTTCCTGTTTCTCCTTCGCTTAAATATGAGTCTCCTTGCTATGTCACTTCTTGCCTGGATCATCACTTCTCTACTACATTTCCCAGAATCCTCTTTGACTCCTTCCTGTTTAATTTGCTGTCTCATTGGCCAAACAGTATTTTATTTAACTATCAATAAGATAAACATACACAGTACATTCCCCATCACACCTCTAAATATAAATAGCTCAGTATTGCATGCAGCAAACATGGTTAATGGACTGAGTGTGTAAACAGACTCACTCTGAACAGATAAATCCACACCAGAAGAGCACAGCTGCAGTCATGAGTCACTGTAACTTTCTTAGCTACATTTGTTTGTTCCTACTAACTTTCAAATGGGTTAAGTGATTTTTTTATTCTTTGACAATTTTATGCATGTATAGAATGAGTGTTCCCCATCCCTCCCATAACCCTATCTTACTCTCCTCCCTCTGAACACCTTCCCAATGAGTCCCCTCCTATTTTCTTATCTTCTTTAAGTGACCCACTGAATTTAATACAGGTTGTTTGCATGAGCATAGGGTGGCTACACATCTGGAAAACACTCACCTCTCTCAAGCAATCAAAGGTTACTGTAAGTTGCAGTAAGATTAGAGACTTGTTTATTCTGTATGTATGTGTGAGTGAGTGAGTGTTCATGTATGCACTGTATGCATGCGTTTGTGGGGCATACACTTGCCAATGTCACGCTCATGTGGAGGCCAGATGTCAATGTTGGAGTTTCTCTCATCATTCTCCACCTTATTTTCTGAGACAGGGTCTCTCACTGAATCTGGAGTGAATAGTTTGGCTAGACAGGCCTATCAGCAAGCGTCCACACACGCATCTTCCCTTCCCTCCAGTGTTGGGTTCCAGATGCTGCTGCATCTGGTTTTTGCAGGGGTATTAGGGACATGAACTCAGGGCCTCATGTTTGCATGGTAGGCATTTTATTCACTGAGCCATCTCCCACCAGCCCTAGACAGTCTTTAAATATATTACTTTATTAAAATTACCAAATCTATTAAAATATTGTTACCAAGTATGCGTAGCTAGAAAAATAAATGGTAATTTACAATGTTCTAGTTTTGGGCCACCCTTTCTTTTTGAGACACTGATGCACACAGAAGACAATGGGGACAAATGCTACTTAAAGAGTCAAATGAACAGGAAAAGATGTATGTTCTACCCTTAAGTAATGAATAAATGAAGCAATGTATGGATCTTTGTTTGGTTAATCAGAAATGTCAAAGATGAAGCCAGGCAGTGGTGGCGCACGACTTTAATCCCAACACTCCAGAGGCCGAGGAAGAAGAATCTCTGAGTTCAAAACTATCCTGGTCTACAGAGCAAGTTCTAGGACAGCCAAGGGCACAGAGAGAAACCCTGTCTCAAAGCAAAAATCTCAAAACAATAATCTGAACTCAGTGATGACATACAAACTTTTACTGTGTGCTCCAAAGTCCAGATATAATTAATTCATGTCCCTGGAGAACATGACATAAGGTTGTACAAGAAACTAATGGAGTTTTTTTTTTAATATTTCAGGGTATAAACATGATCTAACATAAAATGGTATGATGTAGTGCCTTAACTTTTTAAAAAAAATGTCCAAACAAAGACAAAACAAAATCCTCATCTAAAAACCAGGAATGTTTGTTCTCAGACCAACTGAAAACTAGAAGAGGTAGAGTTTGAAAAACTTAAGGTTGAAGTAAGCTATGAAAGTTGGTTTTCAGGTTTGGAACAAAGCAGAAGTTCTTTCCTAAATCACTAGATAAGAAAAACATGACCTGTGATGACAAAGAAGAACACTTAGCCAACAGTGTGACCCTAAGTCTGAACACTCATGTAATACCAAGTAGTATGCTAGGAACACCATCTATGGAGACTAAAGATGTCAAAATTCTTTCAAAGAATCAAACATTCCCTTGCCTTAATCCAAGTAAGATGCTATATTTAAAATATGAACAATGTAGAGCTTCAATACATTCAAATATTCCTATTACTGGTTGTTAAGAGCAGCAGGGAAGACATCCTCCAGGGCCTCTGCTGTCCTACCCCAGGGCTGGGTTTGAGAACATGACATTATTTTCCCTTGGCATTCTAACACGGTATATCCATTATCCACATATCCCAAGACCAGAAGCTGCATGCAGCCATCTGCCTCCACCATGATCCCAGGGTCATCTGAGCTTGGAAAGGGAGAAATTCATGTCTTTGCCCAGGTCTTAACCCACTTCTATTATTATTATGGTTTATCTTACTGGGTCCAGGTTCTTAAATAGCAGGATGTCTTTGCAAGCCTCTTGCAATCTGCTTCTTTGATCATCAGTTTTGGGATGTATTATCTGAAAAGACACCAAAATCCAGAAAACAAACACAGTTAATACCAGGTAAAATCCAATGAAAATAAAAAAGAGAATAATGGAGTGTTCAAGTTCACTCACGGGTGGCATGACACCCATCTGGGTGCTAACAAGCCCATGAGCGGTCCCTTGGCCTACAGAGCACACTCACCAACAAAGTGATTGGAAGGCAAGTTTTCCCCAAGATTAACAAGCACCTTATGAGAAGATGCATAAACAGCAAGAAAGACAGCAAACACGCCAGGCTTTGTGGACATGTACAAAAGGACAAAGTGTTATCCAGTTACACTGGAAAGTTAGATGCTGCCTTCATCCCATTGCTACTGAATGTAAGCTCTTCTGGATACAGCTCTGTCCTTTAAAACTTGATAGTGTCTGCAGAAGCAAGGAAATTCTTAAATGTATACTACATCAAAATTAAATAAGATTTTAGTAACATTGCAGGTGACTTCCCCAAAAGCATGTAAGGAATTTACAAAAAGGGACCAAGCAACCATGCAATGACCCCAAGAGAACATGTGTTCAGGGGAGATGAATCCAAGAGATACCGAGAGAAGCTGGTGTTCTATGATATCACTAAACATTTCCTCCAGGACAACAAAGTCATCAGAGGGTTCTCTCTGAGAGTAGCCTGCCAGCCCCAGGGGCCTTTTGATTAACATTAGACTCAAAGGACCAGTGAGGCTGAGTTCTTTTTTAGGACATGGGGATTGAACCCATGTTGCTCATGTTAGGTAAAGGCTCCACCTTTACCTAACAAAGCTATATCCCTGACACCAGAAGGCTCCTTTTATTGTAAACATTGGTAGTTTATAAATATAAAGTTAGAGCTAAAAGACACTTCTAGAAGCAGCCATGGAGTAGATTCCTGGAGACCAACATACTACTTTCTTCTATTCCAATGTTAGTTCAAAGAATAACTGTAGCTGGGCCGTGGTGGTGCATTGCCTTTAAACCCAGCACTTGGGAGGCAAAGGCAGGTGAATCTCTGAGTCCAACCTGGTCTACAGGGCAGCTAGGACTAAACAGAAAAAAAAGACTGTAGGACCTGATAAGCAAATGCCTCACCCCTCCCATCAAAGCAGCCAGAATTGGACAGCGGTGAGTCTGTGCCCACAGAAACATTAAACGCATGGGGACATTTAACTCATCAGAGGAGATAGCTCACAAATCAATGAAACAGCCTGAAGGAACTAGCATTCATAGTATACGATGGGTATCATACCTTCCATGATTTACAGGTAACAGGAAAGACTATCAGCTAGTGAACAAGTCTCGGCAGTTTGTAAATAAATGTGTGGCTTGGAACTAAATGCCCCCACAGACAGAGTCCCATGTTTATATGGATACTTTGGAGGCCATGGACCCTTTAGCAGAGGAGGCCCAGCTGGCATAAGCAGATGGGTATGTGTAGGCATTTCTTATAGCTGCTTGTAGTTCCAGGCCTGAGTTCTCTTCCTGGATGGTGGCCTGTGACATTCCTGCTACTGTCACAGCCACCTTTCCCCCACACGATGAACTAAAACTCCCCAGAAACTGGCTTCAGAACAAACCTGATTCCTTTACATTATTTCTGCCAGGCATTTTTTTTTTTTTTTTACATGACATGAGAAGTCACTACATAAGGGCTAAGGTACATGACGCCCATTTACTATCTGACTCATGCTCATCTGAACCGAGACCCTAAGGTAACAGGTAAACGCAATGCTACCAGTGCTACACAGAAACCTTCAAGCCTTAGATCCCACTAAACAGAGTTCACCACTTTCTACTCGAAATACAAGAGATGAAGCTGAGTGCTCCAGGTCGCCCAGAAAGCAACAGTAAGGGTGTGCCTGTAGGGTAGCCACCAGGGGTGGGGTTTGGGGGTGGGGAGGGCAACCTACCTACCCTCTGGTCTCCACTCTGCTGCTTCACCCCCTGTCAATCCAAGTCTTTCTCCTTTCTCCTCCTATTTTCTCTTCCTGTGAGCTATCAACAGGGAAGCCCCAACTTTTGTTTCCTGATCCCCTGGCTCTAACCAATTAACATTTCTAAACTGTTTTTTCCAGCTCACCCCAGGACTGCTGTCTATTGCCTTTTGCCCATCACCCACACCTCCCTGACAGAGTTCTACCAAGGACCCTCGGCCTCTTACTGAAGGCAGAAGGCAGATGCGCTCCCGATGCTCTCTTGCCTCAAGAGATGCTGATCACTCTACAGACTCGTCTTTCCACTAGGCTTGACATCAATCTACATACTAGGTTTGTCTCTTGAACACTGCTCCCAAAGTGTGAGCTTTTGCTAGCCCATAGGCCCTTTTGATTTTTATTAAAATTTCTCATTTCAGGATAAAAATCCTGTTAAACGGCATTCATGTGGCATCTGATGTATGCCAGGTAGTAGTTATTTATTTAGGTTTTTTCGAGACAGGGTTTCACTGTGTAGCCCTGGTTATCCTGAAACTGCCTTTGTAGACCAGGCTGGCCTTGAACTCACAGAGATCCACCTGCCTCTGATTCCCAAGTGCTGGGATTAAAGGCACGTGCTACCACCACCCAGTGCTAGGTAGTATTTTAAGGGCCCCATGAATACAAATTCATTGTAACCTAGTAACAGATCCCTGGAAATAGGTGGTAATTTAGAGGTGAGAAAAATAAACTCACTCAATTGACTTCTCCATCATCTCACAGGCTGTGAGTTGCAGAGCTGGGATTCATCTCTGATTAACTGGTTGGAAGAACACACACCCCAGAACTGTAACCCACACCTGCAAGCGTATCTATAGACAATGGTCTCTGAGCTAAGAATGGCTTTACCTTTGTATTCTGTCTCCACCTAATGTTGTGTGATATTTTGTTTGTGTTCTGACAAATAAAGCTTGCCTGGAGTCAGAGGCCAGAGCTAGCCACCAGTAACCATACAGGTTTGAAGGACTGTAGACAGGGAAATAGGAAGTGATAAGGTGGGGTGGAGAGAGGATCTTGGTCCTTTTGGACAGAGGAAAGGAGAGGTAGGAAGAACTAGGGCTGCTCCCAGTTCTCTGATCTTCCCAATATCTGACTCCTGGTCTTTATCGATTAGGATTAATTAAATTAACCCTTCACTCTCCCTTCCCACCCACTTTCTGACACATGGAAATGAGATGAGCCTGTCCTCAGAACACAAACACATTCTCATCTGTGCACTGCCTGCGCTGATTTTGAGCCACAGCAGCAGGTTTGAGTAGCTTTAAGAGAGTTTCTGACTCCAAAAGACTAAATATTCATGTTCAGAAATAGTGAATTTTCAGCTAAAACAAAAATAATCCCTACATAAAGCATTTGCCAACCCCTACTCTGAACTTCTACTGCCTTTCAAGGAAAAGAACCAGAAAAGCAGCTAATGTGGTTTGCTTAGATGTATTCTTGCTGTCACAGAGGGAACCCCGAACACTGTCCACTCCATTCTTCTGGACAATATATAGGAGACCCATCAAACATCCAATGAGAGCACTCCACTCTCCAGCTGCAAACTTCAGCGGGCCCCACACTGAGCTGAGCGTACACCTGTCCATCAGAACCTCACTCCCCTTCCTGGTGCTGCTCAAGCTCACACACAACAGTGAGCCCAGACTCTTATCATGCTCATGTCTTATCTCAAGAGACCTCCACTCACTTCAGAAAAGCAGACAATCTTTTAATTTCTATACAGTGTGTCACTGTACTTTGACACTGTGTATTTCGTAATTACTCATTCATTCACTTGTTTGCACCTGCCCCTAGCCTCTAAGGAAGTGGGCGGGACTAGCAACTGGCCAGCTGTGCAGAGTGATTCTGTAGAACAGAGTGAGGAAGTTCATGAGTGACTCTTCTCTCTCAGGTCACCTGTTAGAGGTATTCAATTCTTAAATTCTCATTTATGATTGGTATTTCAACTAAAACCCCAGATTAGTGTCCAAAATGAGTCTTAAGTATTCTGATTTTCTTTGAGTTCATAGAAAGATAAATACCCATTTTTATTTGAGTTTGTAGATTCCATGATTATAAAGAATTCCAGAGATAATATGAAATGCTGCTCTACCAAAATACAGTATTATTTTCCTCACAGGTGTTTTTTAATATCCATCTAGAACTAAATAATTTTGACATCTGTAATAATTATTCCTAGGCACTATGGTGCAGCTTGCCTTATATTTTTAAGGCCAAAGGCAAAGTCTAATTTTTACTATACTATATAGAGAAAAGCATTTCAACCTAATCAGTCTCCTAAAGCCCTTTATCATAACCATTACTATGTAATTAATATACTACATAGGAACTGAAAGTATTAGAGAGGACAAGCTTTAGAGTGAGTCCCCATCCCACAGACCCCAGTATCTTACAAAAACTACTTGGGGAGGAAAGGGTTTATTCATATTGTAGCTGTCATCCATCGTCACATTGTTTACGACAGAAACTCAAATGGCAGGAACCTGGAAGCAGGAGCTGATGCAGAGGCCATAGAGGGAGCTGCTTACGGGCTTGCTGCCCACGGCTTGCTCAGCCTGCTTTATTATAGATCCCAGGAGCACCAGTCCCCAGCTGTGGCACTGCCTATAGTGAGCTGGACCTTCCCATATGAATCATCAATCAAGAAAATGTACCACAGGCTTCTCCAAAGAGCAACCTAGTGGAGGTATTTTCTCAACTGAGGCCCCTCTTCCAAAACTAACTCTAGCGTATGCCAAATTGACATGAAACCCACCTTCCATAGAAAATGTCTACCCTTATTTATACAACTGGTCTCCGGGTCTTGATTTCCCAGACCTGCCTTTAACTGGCCATCACTGGGCATATTAGAAGCTCCCACAAGCCGGATGTTGAACTGAAAGCTAGAAATAAGGAGGGTGTGCTGGGTGAGTGCCTTTAACACCCTCAACATCTGCACCTTTAATGCTGAAGGACTCTAGAGCAGTGGTTCTCAACCTTCCTAATACTGTGACCATTTCAGTACAGTTGATCGTGTAGTGGTCATCCCCAACCAGCAAATTCTTTTCACTGCTACTTCATAACAGCAGTTTTGATACTGTTATGAATCATAATGTGACATCTGATATGCAGGATATGGTATGTGAATCTCCCACCCTCCCCACCCCCGAAGTGGTCATGACCCACAGGTTGAGATTCGCTGCCTTAGAGGCAGCAGCCCCTGTCTATGTGTGGCCTCTGAACGCTTTCTGGAACTGGTAATATAGCCAAACATGTATTTAATAAGCTCTCACTGGTATTTTTTATGTTTTCCATTTGATTGGCTGCTAAGTGAATATTAACTAGAATGGGAATGAACTAGTCAAAACATTTTACTCAACTAACTCACAGATTCAATGGTATCTAAAATTCTTCCCAAGGTCTGAGTAGTCAATGAGATACTGAATGTTGCTTTCAAACCATGTTTTAGGGGTTTTTTTGGTTTTTGGTTTTTCAACACAGGGTTTCTCTGTGTTGCCTTAGCTGTTCTGGAGCTCACTCTATAGACCAGGCTGGCCTTCAGCTCACAGAGATCCTCCTGCCTCTGTCTCCCAAGTGCTAGGATTAAAGGTGTCCACCACCATCAAGTGGCTTAGTTTTAGATTTTTTTAAAAAATTATTTCCTTTATTTTTACTGTACCAGTGTTTGCCTGCAAGTATCTATGTGACCACATACATGCCTGGTGTCTGTGGAGGCCAGAAGAGATCATAGTACTCAGGATGTATTTATTATATACAGTGTTTTGCCTGCATGCCAGAAGAGGGCACCTGGTCTCATTACAGATGGTTGTGAGCCACCATGTGGTTGCTGGGAATTGAACTCAGGACCTCTGGAAGAACAGCCAGTACTCTTAACCTCTGAGCCATCTCTCCAGCCCCTTAGTTTTAGATTTTTAAAACTAGTTTAAATTACCTCAAATTATCTTCATTACTAAATTTTACCATATATAGTTAATCACAGACATAGGGGCATATGTATTCCTCAGCTGCCATCCATTAGTGTTTCTGTAGCTGTATGGATGAAGCACGTGACAGGCAAGGTAGTTTGTAGAGCACACACAATGAAATAACAACATGTTCCAGATTAGCAACAGAAGATTCTGACTGCATATGTGTATGTGTATATACTGAGGGCATATATATACTTCAAGAACTTAACAGTCTAAAAACTCTGGACCTGCTGTCTGCTTTTCTGCATTTTTCAGAGCTAAAAATAGGTTTTTAAAAAACACTTTTTAAGGCTGAAATGCAAAAGAGACTTTCCCAAAGTATGTAGAAAGAAAGGCAGGAAGGAGAGAGAGGGAGGAAAAGAAATGAGGGAGGGTGAGAAAAAGTTATTCCCTTTCTTCATGTTCTGACACAGTAATGTCTTATTTAATTGCCCCTTACGGGCACACTATTGGGAGAAACACACATATTAAAAGCTGCATCAAAGCACACAAAACCATCTCTACAGAATTGTCAGGGCCTCCAGCAATCAGTCTGTGCAAAGCATGTTACATGTTTGTTGGCACCTTCCCTGTGAGTCTGCTGAGGCTTGTCTGCTTCCAAGGAACCTTCTGTTGTTGCAGACAGGAGTAGGTCTTCACCAGTGTCTCTCTATAGCAGGAATACTTCTTATAAATAACTATGGCCATAAGAAAAATAAATAGCTCAAAACATCTTTCATCATAGGATGCCTTTAGTGAAAGAACTGCACCATAACTTCAGTGAGCACTTATGTTCCTGTTTCATTTCATTCAAAAGAGATTTGAGGTCGGGGAGGGGGGTAATTCTATTGCATTTGAAGTAAAAGTAGACTGTAAAGATGAGGAAAAGAAAAATAATTTCAGTCTGTCCTGAAAGTCTGTGTGTCTATTGTTAATTTCCTTATATAATGCATTTAACATTACCTAATTCAGTAAATTACATACCCTGGACTCTGCATCATCTTCTTCTTCATCAGGGTTATAAGCTTCTGCACAAACTGCAAACACAAGAGGGGACATTTTAAACATTTGTTCATCAAATACACGCAATAAATACCTTAAAAAATGAATCATCAGTGACCTTCAGAAACAGGATCCAGAGGTCCCTGAGCTGGTATTGATTTGAAAGCCTCCTCTCCAAGGTCCAGATCCATGGCACCAGAAGGCACCGTGCAAGCTTCCAAAGGAGAGAAACAACCAACAGTCCTACCCAGATATGACACTTATGAACCATAACAACTACCAGCATGGCACAATAACCCTAAGGTGATATGCATACCTTGGTAGTAACCAACAGCTGACTGGATTGAAGACCTGCCAAAAAGAAGGAGATCATGCCTGGGAAACCTAGCAAAGGAGCTAGTGAGGTCAGGGATCTTGGAGAAGAATCTACAACTACCACTTTACAAAGCCGGCATAAACCCTAACTCTATTCTAAATATTTGTCCTATGCCCACAAAATAAGTTTAGTTCTCACCCCTCATTAAGGAGACTTCTCTTTGCAACATAGACAATTACAGATAACCACAACCAATCAAAATGCAGTGTTGTGGAGCCCAGTCACAACTGATACATCTACAGAACACTCCCACACCAAAGGCTCAGGGAACATTGTGGAAAGATTGTAAAAGCCAGAGGATCAGGGAGTTTGCTGTGAGATTGTGTCTCCTCGAAACGTCAGAAGCTACACCCATAGTCTTACCAATATGACTGCTTAAACATGGGTGAACAAGAATGACACCAATAGGACACACCAACATGGATGGAAGAGCACAGGACACCTCAACGCTACACAAAGAACTACAGGCAACCAAAGAATGGCGAGAGTGAGACAGACAGCCTTCCCCAGGACACCACCTGGTTATCCATTTTCAAGTGGTCAAAAACACATACATACAAGTAACATTATACAGACTGAGCAGGTTATATTTGTATATTTAGGAGTGTATGTGCACAGGCACACACATACATGTGTGTTAATAACAACTGATGAGAAAAGAGGCTGTGAATTTGAAAGAGCAAAGAAGAGAACGTTGAACGTTTGGAGGGAGGAAAAGGAAGGGGGAATGGTGTAACTACATTATAATCTCAACAATAAAAGAAACAATTTTTTAAAATAATGATCATAAAGAGTACTAGGATGGTTAAAAAATACATGACTTATAGAACAAGAAATTGACTCCTAAAATTGATTACATCTAATTAAGGAAGTTTTATAATATAAAGCCATACTTTATGACCCTGGTGATTGCTTTTTGCTTATTTCTACTCAAAACTTAACCCTTTTATCTTTATTTCCAAGGCAAAACAATGTTTATGACCTAAAAATTACCTAAGAGAACATGAACAGCAAAAAATGTAAGTTTGCCATGAAATGATCAATTTAATCATATAGCTATGAGAAACTTTCATAAATGATTCATAAACCACTTTCTCAGGAACAAATGTTGCTAATACAGGAAATATTTCTGCCTGGTCTTTGTCATATTTGAATTTATACTGCATATGCAGCCTGAAAAACTGCTTTCTTTTTCCTTAACACTAAGAATGTTTGTGTCACCAGAAACAGTAAATATTGTTAAAGACTACAAATTATGTTGCTTTGCTATAATTAGCTCCGTTCCTAACACTAAGCATTTAACTGGCTTTTTATTACAATATTTTTGTGATATTATACTTCTTCAACCATAAATACATGGAGACATGTTAGATTATACCAGATGTTATTCTGGGAGCCTAAAAGGCATGAAAAATCTTAAGGCATATTTATTACAAAAGGCTGCACTCATCCATTGTTCTACAAATAATATAAAAAGGCACTCTGGCTACATAAAATAGCTGGGTGCTCCCACTTAAAACCTTTGCCAATTTAAAAGAAAGGACTTAAATATTTAAACTATTAAATATGAACAACTCCCAAATACTTTCTTTAATTGCCATTTATAAGAATATGTTATTTTTCTTTTCGGCTAAAACCAGTTTCTTTCTCTCTTTTCTTTTTTCTTTTTTAAGGATAAGGTTTCCATGTACCCTAGCTGTCCTAGAACCTTGTATGTAGAGTAGGATGACCTCAAACACAGAGATCCACCTGCCTCTGCCTCCTGTGTGCTGGGATTAGAGGCATGTACCACTACACCTGTACATAGCCAGTTAAAAAAAAATCATTTACACTTAGACTGCTCAAAATTATTTCAATCAATTTACTTGTTAATGTTTATTACAAAAGTTCACAGATTATGCATATTTTTATGCTTAATGTAGTAATGTTTGTTGTGGAAGGAAATGCCCCAATGTTTAACTTTAATGACTTAACCTCAACATTAACCATCACAGGAAGACCCACTTTACAAGCTTGGACACCCATTTTCTAATTTTCAAATTTAAAGATTTGTTACTTTTCTTTCTTTTTTATAAAGGTAGGTTTTCAATCTCACAATCCTACAGTAGGAAACACCTTCACAGATGAAAAACCAGGGCATAGAAAGGTCAGGGTCACACTTGATCCTAGAACTGTCTTTCTTGACTTCAGAACCCTTACTGTCAGCCACAGTTGTATATATAGAGTCTGGCAAACTTGCCAGCACCATGCCTACTCTTCGTTTTATCTCAGAAATCCCAATAGAAAGATCTTATTTAAAGACCTCCAATGATACATAAAACCAGAATGTCAATCTGCTAAGTAGCATCCTGGATGAAGTATGAAGTCAGAATGACCAGTCAGTTCTCTCCTTGCAGAAAACCACAGAAGCAGCCAAACATCCATGATTAAGAAGTTGCTTGGTGCTCAGGAAATGTTTCCACAGGGCATGAAAACCTCTTCTAGATGAGGCTCTGCAACCTTCACTCTCTGTGAATGACAGCCAGATACAGAGTAGGATAGCTATATCATTTGCACACTGCAAAAAAGGAAATCATGGGACGATGTTCAAAGTTTCTGACTTTCCCGAGGGTGACAAAGGGGAAAATGAATCTAAATGGAGGGTGCTTGTGAGCAAGAGGACCATGAAGGTGACAAGTTCCCATGATCAGCATATTCAACAGGAAATGAAACAGCCAACATACTCGGTCCTCCAATGACTTGTGATCTACGTTCCTGACTCATTAATGCTAAAGTAAGTTTCAATTCACAGAAAGCATGCTGGCCCTCTGTTTTCTAACCTGCTGGTCACTATCTACTGACTAAAACACCCTGGAATTAAAAAGTCTGCTATTTTCCAGGCATCTTACCAGTTGTTTCAATGTCATTTATTACTTAACACCCCTCTACTTTAACAAACAAGGTGTGCTTGTGTTGGGCTGTCAGCTTCTTTACAGTACTTACTTTGTCAATACTGTAAGGACTGATTCTTGGCGCTGCTGCAGTCACTTCGGTGGACTAGAATTTACCTCCTAGACCCAAATGACACCTGCAGTTCTGAAAAGGGGTTGCGGTGGGCATTACAGTCTGCAGAGCGATCCTAGTGGCTTCCTTGAATTATATCCCACCTCATGTTTTCCCTTCTCCCCAGCCCCAAGCTAAAAGTTAGACCAAGAGTCATATACTGGGTATATTTGACAGTGGTGCAATGTAAGTACGTACCCGTGGAACCCTGGGTTTACTCCCCCCCCCACAAATGAGGAGGAAAGATCTTGACCTTTCACCCACACAGAGCTAATTTAGGTGTGTTCATTTCAGTGAGAAGCCTTTGTGCTCCTCCAAGAGTGTGGGAGGAACCACTGTCATCATTTAACATACAATGTTCTTCCAAACATGCTATACTCTACAGGGACTGGCTGGGGATTGTTCCCTAGCAGGGACAGGGCACACTGCCTGGCTTGATGTACATGTGAGAGACTGGCAGGTGAGCCATTTTCCATGGGCCTTGAGAATGGAGATGCTATTTCTTTCTGATAGCTCCCAGTAGCATGCCAGTGTTACGGACTCTCAGACACACTCTGAACAGATGAATGGAAAGCTGTTCTAGGTTATTTGTTTAAGAATGGGTGAAAATAAGGCTTTCTGTCTTATTCACTAACAGGTGGAGAGTAAAGAACTTGGTAAATACTTGTGTAAAACAAATGAATTTCAGACTCTGGATGACTTGTCAAGATAATCTCCATGTAACTTGTGCGATCTCTTACTCTACCAGAAATACAGTTGCCTTTTATCTTCTAGATAATCTGAAACTCCTCCTCAAACTGTATTCTTTACTCTTGGGAAACTAAACAGTGGAGAGAGACAGTCTTAAGATATATTTAAGTTTCTACTGCAGTATCTGTATTTGGAGGGTATACTGGTTGTTGAGAATAGCCTAGGAATTTCAGCAGATTCCCACACTGCAGACAGAATGTGTATACTGGTATAGCCAGACAACTGTCACAGACTGCAGAGCAGACCCACAAGAAGATCTGTATCCATCCTGTCGAACTTGGCCTGCAGTCTTCCCCTGCTCTCTATTTATAGTGTGGTAGACAAAGGGTTATGCCAACTCCAGTTTGCTTCTTTTTAAAAAGCAAGATCCCTCTTCATTTCATTGGTGTTTGAGATTCAATACAGTCAGATAACCTGATATTAGGCAAAAATAAAAACCTACACTGGAATCTTGGTTGACAAAGAATAAAGAATTCTGTGAGCCACTGGGTACTCAATGCTGACGCTGTATTATACACAATATGCCCTTCATCAATATTCACTGGAAGAATGACAGGCAAATATGGCCTCTACACAAAGACTTTGTGGTTCAGAGACCATTTAATCTAGGAAAAAATGTCTTCTATACAATATACAGAAGTTAATCTTTTGTGTTCTCAATGCACTCAAATGTAGTAGAGTATCTGAATAATAATTAGCTTAAAATAAAGTACATATAAAAGCACAGGTGTATTAGACAACAGAATTCTCACTCAAGAGGGTTAAACTTAGCTTATTGGAGTGGAAAGGCCCTCCTACATGAGACAAAACTTTTAACTTTTATAATCATGAGTGAAGGCAAGCATCTCACTAAAGAAAATGGTTCTC